CAGCCTGTCTTTGTAGGGAGGTGCTGCAGCCCTCTGAGCATCTTTATTTGGCACAGCTCTTAGCAGTTGGGTTAGCTGGGATATCAGTGTTTATTGTTGAGTGCAGTGTATGCGAAGCAAGTGAACATTGAGTTTGACCCAGATAACTTACAGGGTGAGGGGGACCAAAGCCTAAGGGTCTGGAAGAACTGAGGGACAAATCAACTTAGCTTAGAATTAAACATTAGAAGGAAAGATAATGGAAGTAGGGAAATTAAAGCTGAAGTTTCCATTACCTTTTTTTTTTTCTTCCTTGATGTATTCCCCCATTGTGTAAGAATTGGCCAAAAGTTGAGTGGAACAGTGTTAGGGGGCAGCAGGATGTGCAAAAGGTATCACAGACACCAAAGTAAAAGAGAATGAAAGGCTTCCTGCCATGTTCTGCCCTTTCTGGGTTATAGATGGGGAACGTTGCCATTGCCCGTGGTTTGCAAGGTGGACACAGTAACAGACTTGATAAATGGAGACTGTTGGCTTTATTATAATGTGTTTGTATGCAGTAGGTTCTCAGGAGCAATTTAACAGCTTTAGCCTTCATCAGATAGCAAAAACGAGCTGTGCTGTCTGTCTGTGTGAAGAAGCAGGTCCTTGCTGGTGCTCTGCCGCAGCTCGCTGTTCCCGGTGCGCCCTGGCATCCCAGCTCCACTAGATGGAAGTGTTCACATCCACATTGGGATGTTGGAGGACTGTGTGTCCGTTGGTGTGCTGTTCTGTGTGTTCTGTGCTTCTGGGAACGTCTAGCCACAAGTTTGCATTGCTTTTACCACTGCTTCAGGTTGTTGACAAGGGTTGGACGTGGTGGTTGTGCATGCCAGGGCTGCCTGGTTTGCAGTGAGCTGAGAGAAGAGCTGTGAATTCAAGCAGTGATGTTCCACATGTGCAGCTCTTCAGGGTCATTCTCTGGGCTGTGTTGAGAGTAGAACTTAGTGCTGGGGAGAGTCTTGTGGAACAGTAGAAGATAATGAGGGCATCATAAGTCTGAGAAGGTTTTAAAATATCCATGTATTTACTGGTTGACAAGAAAACATTCCGGGAGAGCTTCAGTCCTTTCAGCTGCACAATGATGAGAGAATTGTGGCAGGCTGGAGGGTGTCTCTCAGCGTGTTGTTGCTGGTGTCTTTGCAGGATGTGATTGTGAAGGTTTTACTCTGAGCTTTGGGGAGATGATGGGCCTGGGGGAGCTGGCAGTGCTGTGTGCCCCCCCAGCAGCTCCTTCTGCTGCTGGGAAGCTGATGAGCGTTTCAGGCTCCGTTGGGCTTTAGTCATGAGCACGTTAGGGCATGGATATGTATGGCCAGGGAAGGAAATGCAATCATTGTTTGCATTAAAATAATTTTCCTAATTTAATATTTGTGATTTGAGCACATGAACGTTTATGCATGGCAAAGTTGATGCAGGCAGCTGTATTACTGTTATGGGTCAGGGCACTGTAATTGCACTGCAGCGTGCTTAAAAAGAGATGATTGCATTAACCTTTTTGTGCTTGACTATAGGAAAGCAAAACAGTGTGTTATGGACTTTGCAATCTGAATCTGATCTAGATCTGTTTCCCCTTTGCAGATGAATGGTTGAGACCAGTGATGAAAAAAGACAAGCAGGTGCTGGTGCACTGGGGCTTCTTTCCAGACAGGTAAATCCAGGGGGGAGGAAAGCACACCTCGAATCCCAAGTTTAGTTAAAGGCAAAGGACTGCTCAGAAGTTGCCATTAGGCCAATCCATGTCCTCAGACAAGCTGCTCTTTCAGCATACTGAGTTTTGCCTTTCCTGATGGCTGTGCTCTGCCCTCAGTGCTGTCAGTGAACCTGCTGGAGGATGTCCCAGCTGTGTGGCTGCACTCTTGTTCTGCAGAGCAGTGGGCACAGATGTGTTCTCCAGTGCCCTATGCATGTTTCAGCAGGAGAGAGCAAACAACATCGTGCTTTAAGCTTCCTTCTTCACGCTGATGAGCTATTAAATATTTTTTATTTGTATTGTATAACCAAGGGTGTGCCTACTGTGTATGTAAAGATAGTTATAAATACCAGCATAAACAGTAAGAAAATGCTGCACACGCATCTTTTCTGAAGTATGCCTTCTTCCAGCTGCTCAGCACCTGGTTATGAGGGGGTTTGGTTTGGTTTGGAGTGCAGTTTCTTAATATTAACAAACAGATTTATGAGGGGAATGATATGTGGAAAAGTGACTGTAAGTAATGTCTGGGTTCTGCAGTAGGGATTGAAGAAGGGGATGCGTTCTTTCTTCTCCTAAGAGTGTGGTATCTGCTGCCTTGAATTCTTCAGAAACAATGAACTTACTGGCAGGGTTTGCACGAGTGACTCCACGTGTGCTGTACCCCTGAATGCAGAGATGTGCAATTCCAGGCAGGAGATGACATCACCGAGATGGGTTCTGAGTTCAGAAAGTGAGAAATGTGCCCTGGATGCCTCAGGCCCCTCTCTTCTCAGGGTGCCCTGTTCCCACAGCAGGAACCAGTGATGATTCCTTTGTTTGACTTCCACTGAGTGGAAAATAATGTGCCGTTCCATCCCAGCAGTGTGATTTGCAGATGTCAGAATAGCTGAATGAAGATTCCTGCTGGTGATCTCTCTGGATGAGCAGCCCAGGGGACCAATTTTGTTTTCTCTGCCTCTTCTCATTAGCTACGACACTTGGGTTCATGCCAACGAAATAGATGCTGAAATTGAGGATCCTCCAATTCCTGAAAAGCCGTGGAAGGTGAGTGTCCCTTAAAGAGCTTCCCAGAGTTACTGCATTGCTGTAACCCATCTGTGAATGCTACTGGGTAGATGTCTTCATGTGCTGCTGGGTGTCAGTGGCTGTATTTCCATATATATGGAAAAAGAGAGTGATTTTTGTAGAGCTGTAATGAAAACCCCCAACACGTTTCTTTGGTCTGGAGAGGGGCACTGTGGGGAAAATCTCCTTGTGGATGATGAGGGCAGATGGATGCATCCCTATGATGCTAAAATTACCACCTTTATTCTGGCCTGACTTGGGGGGGTTTGTGCTAAAGGTAATTCCTTTGCTGCTGAGTTGAGCTGCCTCTGGGAGGAGCGCTGGCTGCTCATTACTGGGTGTAATTAGTTAAGGAGTGGAGATGGGGGTAATACCTCATCTCTTGGTGATCTTCTGAAGAATGCTGTGATAGAAAGGAGCCAATGCAGTCAGGAGCCCGAGCACTTCACACATATTACAGGATTTAAAGCACTTCTTTGTGTGTGCAGGAACTTCATACATGGAAATGGGCAGAAAGAACGGGAGCCAGATGATATGGAAATGGGCTCCTTTGGGAAACAAACCTCTGGTCCAACTGAAACCTTGCTGTTCTTTATCAGTTGTTGTTGTGGCAACTTTATTTGCAGCAGTCTCAGGTACTGGCAGCAGAGCAGAGCTGGATGGGGGCTCCCCGTGCCCTCGACCCTCCTGCTGGTTTCATTTTGCCTCATGCCTCATTTTTCTCCTGTTGGTTCTTGCTCTGGCTGAATGGGCCTCGAGCCCTGGCACTGCTGTGGGCACACAGCTGCCCCTGGAGTGAGAGCCAACGTGGGAGCCTCTGAGAAAACAGCAGCTGCTTCAAGAGCCCCTGAGGGCCACAGCTCACATTGCTCTGCAGCAGTGTTTGCTTAATGGGGAGCTCTGCTCGAAGCCGACGTCGCAGGGATGGAAGAAGTCGTTCTGATGTACTTCACTGCAAGAGGACAGTACAAAGCAGTTACAATCCAACAGCAGTAAATACTACTTAACGTCCTATTAGAGGGCTTATTCCTTTATGCATCACATGCAGCATTGTTCTGTGTCTGTGCTGTTCATGTGAATAGCAGAGTTAGGAAAGGGCAGCTCGGGTCAGAAAATAACTGGATGTGATGTCTGTGCAGGCACTCCCTATTCCAAACTGCTGCTTGTAAATAAATGGGACTTCAGCTTTTTGTGTATAAAACACACTGAAGCTCGAAAATGTCATTATTCAGCTATGTGAACTTGCAGATGGCTGTTTTAAATCAGGATAGTCAATCCTCACAAGATATGGCCGTTCTTCCTATTTGTCTCCATTGCTGCACATTCTAACTGTTAAGGTGATCTGTGTCAAACTTGGTGGATTCTGAGAGGAATTTTTGGTATCTGAAGGATGCTTTCAATGCTTTTAATGCACAGCCATTGCCCCAGCTGTGAGAACTGACCTCACACTTGAGATGACTTGAAAGGACAGAAGAGCAGACATGGCATTCAGCAGGCTTACAGCATGCCCAGCCTTCATAGCAATGCCTCATGGAGCTGTCAATATGTGTAAAATTCCTGTGAGATCTGTAACTTCAGACCCCCATAACAAGGCTGAAAGTATTTCCTTCATCCTCTTAGGTCCATTGTGGAGTGACTATCTGCAAGGATCAACATGTCACTGTGTTCATAGAATTGTCATAGAATCAGAGACTGCCTTGGGTTGGAAGGGAACATCCCCTGACATCCAACCTCCAGCTGCCCTCCCTCAGCTCCAAACCATTTCCCTCGTCCTGCTGCCATCTCCCCTTGCCAAGAGCTGACTCCCCTCCTGGCTGCAGGCTCCCTTGAGGCACTGCAGGCTGCACTGAGGTCACCCCGCAGCTTCTCTTCTCCATGCTGAACAAGCCCAGCTCCCTCAGCCTGTCTTTGCAGGGAGGTGCTGCAGCCCTCTGAGCATCTTTGTGGCTCTTCTGCACCCTCTCCAACAGCTCCCTGTCTTTCTTGTACTGAGGGCTCCAGACCTGCAGATGGGGCCTCACAAGAGCAGAGCAGAGAGGGACAATCACCTCCCTGTCCCTGCTGTCACCTCTCTTCTGATGCAGCCCAGGATACCATTGGCTTTCCAAGCTACAAGAGCACACTGCTGCAGGCTCACATTCAACTTTTCATCCACCAGGACCCCCAGGTCCTTCTCCTCAGGGCTGCTCTCAAGGAGTTCTTCTCCCAGTCTGTATTCGTAGCTGGGATCACCCTGACCCAAGTGCAGCACCTTGCCCTTTGCTGTGTTGAACCTCACAAGGTTCACAAGGGCCCACCTTTCGTGTTTATCGAGGTCCCTCTGGATGACGTCCCTTCATTCTAATGAGTCAACCACATCACTGAGCTTGGTGCCATCAGCAGACTTGCTGAGGCTGCACTCAATCCCACCATCAGTGTCACTGCTGAAGATGTTGATGAGTGCTGCTCCTGTAACAGATGAACAGGGGACGCTGCTCATCACTGGCTGCTGCCTGGACACAGTGCCGTTCAGCACAGCCCTCTGGCTGCCGCCTTCCAACCAATTCCTTATGCACCCCTCATATCTCCAGTTTGGAGATAAGGATGTGATGAGAGACCGTGGCCTTGCAGAAGCCCAGGTAGATGACATCAGCTGCCTCCCCTTTGTGCACCAGTGCTGTCACTCCATCATAGAAGGCCACAGATGGGTCAGGCACGACCTTCCCTTGGTGAATCCATGCTGGCTGTCTGGGATCACCTACTTGTCCCTGATGTGCCTCGTGTTGCTCTGTTCTTTAGGTTCATGCCAAGTGGATTTTGGACACAGATATATTCAACGAATGGATGAATGAAGAGGATTATGAGGTGGATGAGAACAGGAAATCCGTGAGCTTTCGGCAGAGAATCTCCATGAAGAATGAAGAGGTAGGTGGCTCCAGCTCAGTGTGTGACCTGCTGCTACATTAATATTTCTTCTCTCTGCAACAGTGACTGAGATTCAGACAAGCTGAACACTTTCAGGTACCTGTGGTAGTACAGCTTAGTTTGAATTTCTTCTGATATGTCATTTATATCAGAGAACTATTGTTCTCTTTTATTATTTCTACGTTCTTTCTTTTTCCCAAGGATGGCAAGAGAAGAGATTGACTTTGTACTTTCTTCTAAACGAATCTAGGGCTCCATTGGACAGCATCAATTAATTTCCAGATGCTCTCATTTCGTATTCTTCCTGATGCAGAAAGTTTGATAGGACACTGAGAGCATTCATTTAACCCTCAGCTCAGGCTGCTTGCTGGGAAATGCTGATGGGTGGAGTACATTGGACGTGCCATAAGTTAGCTGCTGAGTCTTGCTCTAAGAGCACAGTTTGTAGGTAGCTCCTGCAGTAGCAGGGATGGCTATAAAAAACTTACATTACTTCACCTTGGCAGAGGTGTGTTTGGAAAGCATTCTGGAGCTGAGGATTCTTGCTGCTTACTGCTTTCAGCTGCTTTGTTGTAAGACGTAACAAGGAAGGCTGCAGCATTTCAATAACTGCAGTATGCCTTTCATTTCTCTTACAGCCCGTGCGTAGTCCTGAGAGGAGAGACAGGAAAGCAGCAGCAAGCACACGGAAGAGAAAGCATTCTCCTTCTCCACCCCCCACTCCTGTGGAGTCAAGAAAGAAGTCAGGGAAGAAAGGGTGAGTGTCTTATTCAGGGAAGCTGGGGCTGCTGTTCTGAAGGGTGCTTATGGGCGGCCCTGGCCCGTGTCGCTATTCACACCTCAGATCTGCCTTAGGCTGGAATCATTCTTTCTACACTAGGTTTGTGTGGTTTTATAGTGCAGTGTCCATCATTTCTTGACTTCTGTGTGGAAGTGCATTGCCTGTGGGTGGAGGAGAACCTGTGCAAGTCCTGATGTTGTCTGTTCCTCAGCAGCAGGACGTGGTGCTGCACTGAAATAGAGCTTAGGGAAACCCTCACTGCTTCTGAAATAGCTGCAGTTAGTGCAAGCAGTGGTACTGGGGTGTGTTTTGAAGGAGAGCCACTGGAATGACTGCATGTAATTGGGGAACTTTTAATCTACGTAGCCGTGTGTTTTGAAGTGAACTTTTGAAATATCACTTCACCTGAGCACTGTTGGTTGATTACAGTTTGCCCCCAGGTCAGTGGTGGTTGATTTTTTTTCTCTGTGCTTGTTTGATCTTTAAAAAAAGGGCCAAGATTATAACCAAATAAAAGCTTACCACTGGTGGGGTTCTGTGGTGTGGGTGGGAGCACTTAAAAAGTGCTTAAGGTGCTGGAGGTGTTTGAAGCCAGGCTGGATGTGGCTCTGGGCAGCCTGGGCTGGTGGATGGTGACTCTGCACATAGCAGGGCATTGGAGCTGGATGAGCACTGTGCTCCCTTGCTACCCAGGCCATTCTGATTGAATCTATTAAAAACCAGGGCTTTAGCAGTGCTGTCTTAAAAAAAAGAAGCAGCAGTGCTGGAAGTCTGTCATCTGAGATGAGAGGGTCAGAAAGGTCATCAGGTAATGAATGAATCCTGACTGTTTATTTCCAAATGTGAAGTCTGAGTTCGCTTCTGTAAGGAAGGGCCTGGGTGATTCTGCCTTTGTTCCCGGAAGGACTTGCTCTGGATGTAGAAATGATGTGGAAAAGCCTGCTTGTTCCCCAGATGAGGCAGAAGGCCTTGCAATGGTCTGTTGCCTCTTCTGGTCCGTGCAGCAGATGTCCTTATTGCAGCTTGGGAAAGGAGGAATGGAAGTGAAGCACTGCTGCCCTGAGTCTCATAGGCATGCAGGTGCTGCCAGCGTGCTGGCATTCAGAATTCAGACAGCAGTGTCCTGCAGTCCTGAATCAATGGCAAAAGACCATCATTTGTATGAAACTGAGAGGCACTTCTGAATCATTAGGCTGCAAAAATTACTCGCTAGTGCCCTTCTAAATTATGTTAGTAATGCACAGACTGGTTTTTGTTAACTCCTCCATGCTTCCTGCTGCACTGTTTGCCCAGAAGAGTTTTAACCCGGCCCTTTAATCCTGTTGTCTGCTGAAGGATAACATCAAGGTGAATGCATCTGACACGTGCAGCTGTCAGAGAGTTTCTCTATGGTTTCTTTCAGACAAGCAACCATATATGGGAAAAGGAGAGGGCAGAAGGAAGAAGATGAGCAAGAAGATCTTACAAAGGACATGGAGGATCCCACGCCAGTACCTAACATAGAAGAAGTGGTACTTCCCAAAAATGGTAAATTACAGATACAGAGTATTTGAACGTTAAAGCAATTGCTTGAACTGTACAGGGAAAACATGCTTGTGTTGTCAGATGTTTGGACTGTGATGTCGAGTACCCGTATGGATATACCCATAAGCTAACCATATGGAATTAGTGGAGGCTCTGCTGACATGCCCAGTGTGGGCAGAAGTGCCCATTTGTCAGTAGGTGTTAAGGAAGGATAGGTCAGAAATAAAATCCAGCACCAAAGCGTTTTGGATGTGGCAGTTTGACTTGATCTGGTCTGGATTGCGTGGAGGAATTGCTGGGTGCTGTGCAGGTGGGAAAAGCACAGCAGTCAGAGCCCTCAGTGCCTGCATAGAGGCAGCATTGTGTTCCGTGGGAGATCAGACAGGAGCCAAATAAAAGGTCTCTTGTGCTCAAACTGTCCTGACCAGATGAACTCTTCTGAACTGCAAGGACCCGACCAACAGAACGGTTTATTGATAAGATAGCAGCAGCGTGCTGGACGTTGCTAATTGTATTTTGTCTGATGGTTACTCATTAGAGCTGCAATCTTTGTTTTGCAGTGAACCCAAAGAAAGACAGCGAGAACACGCCTGTGAAAGGAGGAACAGTGGCAGACCTTGGTAAGGCACGCAGGGACACACATCCTTCTTACAGCAAAGTCGTGTTTGCAGGGCAGCAGGAAGAGTATTTTTAACTCTCAGTTGTGAAAGGAATCTCTAATTGTGATTTCTGAATTAATTCAGTTTTCACCTGTATTCCATTTGAAATGTACTCTTCCTTTTGGGTCTGTTCCCTTGCAGGCAGTGTTTGCTTTTTTGGGAAGTGACATACGAGCTCTTCTTTGGTAGATGTTTATTTCTTATTAGGAGTTAGGCTGAATTGCAGGTTCCCTGAGCTTTGCTGGCCCTCTGGTATCAGGGATAGAAACTAGTGTCCCATGTCCTATTATACAAGGTACATCTAGGGCACTGGGCCAGGCAGTGTAATTAATTATGGATTCCTAAGCGTGGAAAAATTCTAATTATCTTCCTCTTTATCCCCTCTCTGATGTGCTCCTTTGTGTGGGACCATTGAGTGCCTGCATAGAGATGAGATAGTCTTAATGATGTGTGCTCTGCTTCGCTTTCCTCCTCGCTTCCCTCCCAAAACAAATGCAGTCGTCTTTCCAATTAAGCAGTTCACGGCTGGGAAGGACTGCGTGTGTGAGCAGTCAGGTGTGTGTCATCAGTTTAATTCCCAGTGCTTTTGCCTTTCAGATGAACAGGATGAGGAGACAGTGGCGACTGGAGGAAAGGTAACTGCAGTGATTTCATGCTGAGCTTGGTGGAAACGGAAATCTTCATCGTTGTGGACTTACCCTGCAGTGCTTTTCAAGTGATAGTTAAGACCAAATTGGTCACTGGTGGAAACAGATGTATATTCAGATGAACATCTTTTGGATGCAGATTTTTCAAAGCTTGTGGGTTTTTTTTTTTCCTTTAGATTTCAGTGCTAAATGTAGAGCTTGGCTGTGTTTCAGGCTGTGTAAGCACCTAGGTGCAAACACATGGGCAGATGGCCAAAGTGCCATTCTTAGGTGAGCAGTATTTTGTGCTCACAAGGAGTGACTGGGCTTCTCCAGCAAGGGAAATACTCTTATGTTAGTTGCAGTTCCTTGATCCCAGGGTGTAGAATAACCTGGAATTGTGGAACTCATGCAGCAAGGGTTCAATCTGTGCTAGGTTGGGAGATGTTGCTTTTACGTTCTCTGCTAAAGGCTTGTTGGTTTGGGGTTGGCTCTTTTTGGCCATGGTCTGTGTTCTGTTCTTGGAGACAGGGAGGGGGAGTGAGGGGATGAGGAGAGGACAGACTTCTTATCTGGACAGCTATGGTGAGGTCAGTAAATAGGTTTGGAGAGTACCTTGTCTATGGGAGAATTGAGTTGCCCCAAAAGGTGCAGTGGTGATGCTCCCAAAATCCTGCTTCAAGGGCTGGGCTGTTTTGAACAGCCTTTTGTTTCTTTGAAGTGGGGCTGGCTTAGTAATTCAGGCAAAGAAATTTGTTAGAAGTGAAGTTACCTTTGGCAAGGTAAGGACTCTTGTGTTACAGGTACACAAGAAACCTGAGCCAGAGGAGGCTGTAGTGTAATAGTGCAAATAGCCTCTGTGTACTGCCCCCAAAAATCTGCACTGATTCTCAGCTTTCTGATGAGGGAGGAATGGTCCCTTCAGCCTGTTAATCCACGTGGCCATGTTTGATGTCCCCTTGTTAAAACATCTCCTACTGACTTTATTAGCAGCAGCCTTCCAGAGAAACCTCTGCCCACTGTGCTGTAGCTCCTGGGATCTGCTGCTCTAATGTCTGCTATGAAAGTTTGTCCATCTTTTATGTCCAGCACAGCACATCTATACCCCATGCCTGGGTTTTCATGGCACAGTCAAAATTTGAGCTTGATATCTCTTCACGAGGCAGAATTATTGAGGACCAGCCTTAAGACTGACCAATAAAGGTTGTCCAAGCAAAAATGTCAGTGGTCATAATTCGGTGCCTGCGGAATTGTCACTCTGTACCCTACAAGTGTCACCCAGTAAAATGAGAACTAATGACTGATTTCCATTAGTACTCTTTTGAGGAGTGAGGGAAGAGTGGCAGGAAGTACAAGTCATCTTAAGGTATTGCCAGGTACGTTCTTGAGGTCTGACAGCAGCTCTCAGCAGCTTTTTGCTTCCTTTATTCTCTTATGGAAGCACTTTCATCCCTGAGGCTCTCCCTACTGAAGGCATTTGCTTGGGGTGGCTGCACGAGGGCTGTCCATGTCTCCCTGCTTGCAGCCTCCTCACCACTGTGTTCCTTCCATGACACAGGAGGATGAAGATCCTAACAAAGGTGACCAGAGTCGATCCATGGATCCAGGTGAAGATAACGTCACAGAACAAACCAACCACATCATCATTCCCAGCTATGCGTCTTGGTTTGACTACAACTGGTAAGAAAGCGATTGGCATCTGGGGATTTAGAGTTTTGTTGGTGGTTTTTTTGTAAGTCATGCTGAGAGCTGAAAGAAATTACTTCTTTGTAGGTGTAGTTCACACGTGTGGGCTCATCTTTTCCGCCTGCAAATCTTCCTGAGCTGAGGTCTGTGGGATTTGATACAGCCGTTCTTAAAAGCAGAAGCTGGAGCTTGTGGTGGATAAGTTCCTGCAGTAGTGCTGAGGATGGGTCTGAGCTGTTAGCATAAAGGTAGCCAGAGCTGGAGGCTGAGCCAAACTGTGTTGCCTTGTCTGTGTGCACTCACAGCTTGGGCTGACCTAAATCCTCACGAGTAGAGCCATCCTTCACCTCGCTCCTTTGCTCTCTCCCACTTGGAGAAGCAGAAAAGCCAAGGAGCACACAGTGTGAACTTACAGGCTGCCTTCTGAGCAGGGAGTCTTGAGGTGCTCTGTTGCAGTGCAGGGTGAAAGGCTCCATTAACTCACTCTAAATGGATGATTCCCTTTGTGACTGTGCGGCCTGCTGTAGGTCAGGAGAGGCAGCTCTGCAGCTCGAGCTAAGTGAGGATTCCCTGAAGTGAACGTGGAGATGTCTGTGTGGTCTGTGTGCTTTGGTTCCTTTGGATGCCTCTCCTGTTACTGTATGTGTGCCCGTGGAGTGGCTGGCTGAAGCTTCCTGCAGATGTTTGTGTTCATAGCAGCAGCAGGAGCTGTACTGGTGCTCCTGAGAGCTGCATCAGCTCGTGAAGCGCAGCTACAGGACTGACACAGAAGGTGCAAAGAAACAGAAGGAACTTCTCCTTGGCACAGATGTGCCCGTGCCTGCCTTGTGAAAGGGGACCTCAAAGCATCTGTGATGCAAAAAAGGCTTTGGTTTGAGATTCTCCAAATCAGAGATGTCCGGCACATGGAGCTGACTTAGGCTGGAGGCTGAAATAGCTGCACAGCTGTGAGGCTGACGTGTTTCTGTCCCTGAGCTCTGCCTCCATCCAGAGAGGTTCCTGCAGTCCTGGAGAGCAGCAGAGCTCAGCTGTGGCTGCTGCTGCTGTGCCAGAAGGTCACTTTTGGCTCATGTCAGTGTGCACAGACTGCTGCAGCCCTCCCACATTGCAAACACTGCTGCTGGTTTGAAGCAAATGGAAGAATAATTCTAACCTCCTTCTCCTGAAGTGCATTCCAAGCTGCTGTTTCACAGCATTCATTGCTGACATCAAATCTGTAGTAAACAGATACAATTTATTCGATCCTCGATTCAGTTCCAGTGTAATCTGTTCTGCTGTCGGTGACTTCACTGCAAGAACTAAATGACTTATGTGCTGTAAAACCCGAGCAGTTGGTGAATCGTGCTCTCTGAGCTCTGTTCTCTGAATGGATGACAGAATGAATGATGTTGGCACCAAAGGACGGTGGTGTGTTTGGCTGAAAACTGCAAGATGCAAGGGAAGAGCATTAGTTTTAACAATAATAATAATAGCAGTGTGTGCTTCCTTTAGAAGGAACTATTTCTCAAGGACCTCTGTAGTTTTCTGATGTTAATTTGGATGAAGTGTGTGACATTTTAGGAGTTACTCTCGTCATTTTAATGGAAATAAGTTCTTCGTTTCTGACACCTTATAAAGTGGACATCTTTGGAATTGGGAAGCTCTCCTCCTGCAGGGCTGGGTGGATTCAATCCTCACAGTTTTCTCATTAAGATTTATAAAAAAAATGGTGCAGTCAAGGTCCATGTGGTCTGGGTGCTCACATTGTGATTTTACTTCACTGTCCCAGCCCTCACATGTCACACATACCATGGCTTACACAAATGTCCTTGTTTTAATACCTGCTGGTGCAGTGACCCTTCACGGCCACATTGCCTTATTTCTGCTGAAAATAAACCATCATGTCTTTAATGAAGTACTGAATCGAAGGCTCCTGCTGGAACGTTCAGGTTTCCAAGAGAGGCCCTTGCAGTGAGCGTGCTCTCAGTACCCATGGAAGGTGTGTGGAGTTCCCTGCACAAGGCTTTGGGGTTTGCCATCTGAACTTTGTGTTTTCCTTGCAGCATTCATGTGATTGAGCGCCGTGCTCTTCCGGAGTTTTTCAATGGAAAAAACAAGTCCAAGACTCCTGAAATGTAAGTACAGCATGAATGTAAGTACAGCATGAATGTAGGTACAGCATGAATGTAAGTAAGTACAGCATGAATGTAAGTACAGCATGAATGTAAGTACAGCATGAATGTAAGTAAGTACAGCATGAATGTAAGTACAGCATGAATGTAGGTACAGCATGAATGTAAGTAAGTACAGCATGAATGTAGGTACAGCGTGAGTGTCAGCATGCAAGAGCTCAGCATGGCAGGGCAGTTCTCCATGCCCTTCATCCTTCCCTTGCTTCTCCTTGTGTGTGTGCTTAGCAGGTGCTGACTGTGGGTGCATGAAAGAAAGGAGCACCTGTGGCACCACAGCGTGCAGCTGGATTGTGTCAGTGTTACTGTAAAGATGAAGGCAACATTTAATAGCAGCTATCAAGGAAAATGAACCCATGTTTTTTCCAAGCAGTGTTGGAACAAACTGTTGAACGTGTCCTGAGTGAGGTACGGGATCCAGTATCTCCCAGAGAAATTAAAACTGTATCATTGAATCGAATTGAATCATAGAACGGCCTGGGTTGCAAAGGAGCACGATGCTCATCCAGCTCCAACCCCTGCTGTGTGCAGGTCACCAACCAGCAGCCCAGGCTGCCCAGAGCCACATCCAGCCTGGCCTTGAATGCCTGCAGGGATGGGGCATCCACAGCCTCCTTGGGCAACCTGTGCCAGTGCCTCACCACCCTCTGGGGGAAAAATGTAAGGTACTGTAGAGCCTCAGTGAGCCCCATAGTTCTCTTCCTCTTCCCATAACACACTGTGGTTTTGGGACGTGAGAGCTGTGTGTGAGCACTGATCACCACGTCAGCTGTAGGATGCGGTGTCAGACTGTGGAATGGATTTTCCACACTGTCTGTGTTGATGCCATGGTTCCTTGAGCAGGTGATGGGTAATTCTGGAGCACGTGAGGGCTGGAGTGTGAATGTTGGGTAGTCAGATTAAAATCAGAGAGCTGGGGCTGAGCACTGCTAAAGAGAAACTCTTGTTTGTGTAGCTGTTCTAAGCCCTTTCATGACTCTGTAGTTCCTAATCATCCTAAACATCTCAGTGGAGCTCTCTTGGTTGAGTCTAAGATGAAACTGAATCTGTCTCATCTCCCTGTGGGTTCTGCACAGGAGTTACACGTTCCTCATTCAAAATAGAAGCACACTTGTTTAACTGGCTTTAGAGAAGCTGTTACAAAACAATTGAAGCAGCACAACGCCAGCTGAATGCTGTTGGTCTGTACATGGAATGATTCTCCTCCACTCTGGCTTGGCAATGGAAGGAGGTAAGCCAGTGGTTTTGCATCACATGCTTGCCCTGGCTGTCTGCTGCAGTGTCATTCTGATTGTTAGTAACAGCACAGCTCGCCTTCCCCGAGCATTTTGTTCCAACAGCAAAGTGAGTTATTCAGAGCAATCCCCAAAGGCCATTGATTAAAGGAAGGCAGTCAGCAATAGGCTCTTGAGCAGTGTGCATTTTCTTAAAGCTGCAAACCTAAAACCTGAGAGAAAGAAATTGGATTGGACATCCATGGAACGCTTGTTGACTTTGGTAAAGGAACCGTGCTCACTGTGGCTGCTTCATCTTGGTAGCAACTCTTTGTCTTGCTGCAAAGCATCATTTGGGGCTTTAAAAGCAGTTTTCTCATGAGCTGCTAAATGAAATACTTGAGGAGTCTTCTCAGTATGTTGTTTTAATGTGCAAAGCTGTGTGTTTTTCATACATAGCAGTTCTCCAAATTTGTGTTTTTTCTCAGTTTCTTCTTGGTGCAGATGGTCAGAGGGCTGGAGCATAGGCAGTCCTATGAAGACAGGCTGAGGGAGCTGGGCTTGTTCAGCATGGAGAAGAGAAGC